CACTCCGAGGATCTGTGTAAAACATTTCTGTGAACAATTTTCAGAATGCCTCTATTTACGTTGTCTATAATCCATAAATCTTAATTTCCAGCAACTCTTCCTCAACCAGCACCAATTGCCTTATCTGGTAAGAGATTCACTTTCTGAGTAGGTTGGGGGAATTAATCTTCCTTTACAGTTAGGTTCAATGACAACAAGACATCCCTGAGGCTTCCCATTCTCATTTATCCTCTTGCTTGAATTGCAGTGACAGAACTGTTGTCCTTGGTCCACTTTGCTCTCCAGCAAGGTAAGCTTCATGCCACCATAAGGTGGGTGGAATGAGTTCAGCTGGGTTTTTTCCTAATTTGAAGAGGCACAGTCAACTTGAAAATTAGTTCTTTCCAAAGTAAAATTAAGAAAAAGAATTACAGGTACCATATCTGTTCTTGAGATTTCCATATCTTGATTTTGTAATCCAAGTTGTAAGCATTTTGTCCCACCTCTAGCAACATGGAACACTCAAATAAAGTAGGAATTTGGATGAGAAGATGGTGTGATTGAAAAAGCAATCAAAATATATGTCAAAGGCACAAAATACTTAATAGAGAATTCAAACTCCCCTCCTGGCTGCTCTTACTAACATCAGGTGGGTTTTGTAACATTAAATAAATCAAAAACATCCATGGAAAAAAGAACAACTATACGTTTGGCAACCTTCTCCTATTTCACTATATCGATAACCAAGCTGTTGTAGCAAAATTAATCCAAATTCTGCAGCAGTAGTGCTGCACACTAGAATTTCTTTGGCATTTTGTGATATTTTAAAAAAAACAAGATTTCATTAAGTGCAGTAGGGTAAGACAGCGATAACATTCTCTTTCAAACCTGAACATTACTGAAGTACCATTCATGGACAGGCTCACTGAAATCAACAGAAAATCTTCAAAATTGTAAAATTAACCATCTGCATAAAACTTTGAGGGACCTGGAGCGTTTAAAGCTTTGGAGCCAAGCTCTTTCTCAACAGTGTGAATGACACTACTGATATAATGTCTGCTCAGTTAATTGTATTTTGATTTATACTTTGCCACAATTGTAATTGTTACAGGGTAGTTTATATAGAAAATGGAAAAAAAAACCACTCAGAACATTCCTTTGGAGAAAGATGAACATAGGATATTGGGGCAAAAGTATTTTATTTAGCATGAAAGGCAGTTGGCATCTGATTTATGCATGCTACAAAAAGAGACTATCATAATATTTGACAAAGTGGGTGCTCTCTCTGCAAAAATTGATTTTCAAACAACAGGTATCAGAGCTACTGCTTACGCATCTGGAAAGGTAGACAAATGCCTCAGTGTGCACAAGGCTAGACTTCTGGAGTACTTTGCTTCAGCAAATTCATACCCATGGTTACTAAATGAGAGTCCAATTAAAGCCAGAAGATTATCTACAGCTAAGCTGCCACTTTTTACCAAGTGAGAACGAGAGAGAATTTGATAGGTTCTTGTTTTGCTGCCTTTCTCTTTTTCACAGTCCCCAGTTATCTATTTCAGCATCTAACGAGATTTTCCAAATACTACTAATAATGCTGCATTTGATTTATGGTTTTCTCAAATGCATTGTGACACTCCTAGTAAAGATAAAAATTAGCAGTAGAGTGCCAGTGTTGCCATTCACGAAGATATCTTAAAAACCATTTTTGTCCATTTTAGACTCTAATTATATGTGGCTGCCTACAGGAGTTTTTATTGGAAATGCTGATGAAAATCACAATCTTTCATCCTGTTGCAGGAACAAAAAGGTAAGTTATCTCAAAAACTTAATTTAAGTACAGCTCATCTCCAGAAGAAGCAAGAGGCATTTTCTGGAGCTAAGGCATTAAATTACAACTTTCTACTCCTTTTGAAATGCGTGTGTAATATACTCGCTTGCATGAATTTAAAAAATTGCAAGCTCAGCCTACAAATCCTTCTTTTATTTTCGATACTTGTATTTTCATTCAGACAGAGCTTTTTGGAAGACCTTTGTTTTCTCTGAAAAATCCCACTTTCAGTGTGTGAGTCTATCCATAAATGCTAATAAAATATAAAGCTACCAAATGCTGACTTTTCTCCAGTGAAAAACCGAAAACCTCGTATTTCCATAATTCACTACATACTGCAAACACTTCTTTTCATATCCATGCCTGTCTTGAATTTATTTTTTTTTTTTACTCATTGATATCTGATAATATTGACTGGCTGCAGAGCCAGAGAGCTCTGTGAAGTGGATCATTATATTCTTGGAGGTAAGACAGAACAGAATTGGACAGTTTCTTTTAATTGTTTTGTATATGCATCTGCATGTAGAAAAAGCACCCAAGAAAACAAAAAGGAGAATTGTGTCTGGTTAAGTATTTTAAAGAAAGTTACAATTTTTCCTCGTTAAATTTGCTAATAAAAGGAACATTTTCTGCTACCAAATAGCAAATGTTTGTACGTGTGCAACACAACTTTGGATTCTTCTCACTGGTTAATTCTAGGGCTGCCATCCCTTGAATGTAGGAATGGCCCTGTTGCTTACATACGGTAGTTGCTGCTGCTTTGCAGTAAGGAATTTGTTGTCTAAATAAGGGAAAGCAAAATTCTTCAGTTTCTTGTACTGTAAATTGGGTAAGCACATGCAGAGAACTGAGACTTAGAATTCCTCATCTGATAGATACATGTTTTCTTATCAGCCAAAGTAAACCATTGCATACTTTTTCAGACCATGTTCCTCGGTGCTTAATAACGTTTTCCTTGGCACAAGCCAGGAGTATTTGAATTCAGATTTAGTGTGTAAATCTAAACCAAGTAATTTTGAGTTGAAGTTAGACCTGGGTAAGTCTAGACTAGCTCTTTCAGACTGCTCAGCAAAGGTGCTCTGGTTTCTTAGAGGAACTATAAAGGTTCATTTCCTGTATATGAGGACTTGGATGTCAATGGGGAGTATTCCTAGAAGCATGTATAGTTCAGTCTGTGTTCTCTGTGTAGCGATCAGATACTCAAAATTTTGATTGAACATTCTTTGACACTGTACTAGTTTTCTGTCTCTTCAAATTCATGCAGCCGCATACCCTGAGTTTAAGAGAACATTTAGGGTTCGTTTAAATTCCAGATACTTGTACAAAGATTGATGGGAAAAAAATGGCAAAACTCTGTGTTGTGGATTGTTTGCAATGGCTTTGGAGAGAAACTAAACACAGAGCAACTGGAAAATCCCATTTCTAAGTAGTAATTAAAGAAGAAAAAACAGGTGAGAGGAAAAAGAGGTAGAAAGAAGAAGAGGATGCCATGGACAAATAATTTTTTTTTCCACCCAACCTTTATGATAATCTCTGGTATTATGGCTTGCAATATATATACACCTTTCACAAATGACAGAAAAGGTGATGGAGTTTGAAAGGAGGTAGCCTGAGGAAGGTAGGAGAAAGGAGATCACTCTGTTCAAAGGAGTCACTAAAAGAGGAAAGATGAGAAAATAAAATGGAACATAGTGAAGGACTGCAATTTTTTATCCTATGTCCACTGGTGCATGCCAGGGTAAATAAAAAATCTACAACATTGAAACAGCAAGTAGGCATACAAATCCATACTCTATTACAAAAACATAAGGAGGAAGGTATTCATTTGTGGCACAGCCACAGCGTGGAAGGTACCTAGCTGAGAAGACGCAGCTGGCTGCTGAAGTGGATGCCAAACACACTGACTGTTCTAGCTAGTGGAAATAGGCCTTCAGAAGGACCCAAATATTGTTTAACGCCAGTCTGAAAAAAATGAAGCTTTTGGATGATAAGGAGTGGCACAGTTGTAAGCTGCCTCATATTTCTGCTGTGGCTGTGGAAATACTGTGTGGATGAGAGAGCCACTGGTAAAATGGCTTATCCTGAATTCTAGCAGGCTAAATCAAGTCCCTGCCATTCTGTTGTTACCTAACTGAGCTACAAACACATAAATAAGCTCATGCCTATCTTGATGAGTATACCTGTAGCTATGCCTACAATGTTGAAGTCTACCACAAACTTACGCTTGCATCAGTACTAAGTGTAGAAGATATTCTCCAGATGCAAAGCCTTCTTATGCCAAAGCCATTTTTAGGCATTCAGAGGGGACGAGCCCAGGAAATTCTGCCCCTAGAATTAGTGCTGTCTGATGAAATGGAAGAAGGAGTGGACATACGACATACCCACATGCTGTGTCCCCACATTTTTCCCAGTCTTCACTGTGCTGTTTATACTGACACATACACGATTTTTCATATAATCTGGCTGCAGATGCTGACTCAGGAGCAATGCTAGGCAAAAGGACTAGTTGTCTCAAGTCCCTAGAAAATGCAAAATATTCCAAGATACCTGACCATAAATCCCCTCGCTGTTCTGGGCTTCTCTTGTCACTCCTTTTTAAATGTGTGTCTCCTTCATTCTGTGGAAAGATACACAGGTGGAGTAACTGGCTGACTGTACACTGATTGTAAAAACCAAAAACACAGAGGAGCAGTGATTTAGTCTATGGTTTTAATCTAACCTGAAATTAGAGATGTCCTCACTAATGAGACTGCAGCAGAGCCCAGATAGCAGTAACCATCACTTATGAAGCAACAGTAGCCCTCAACAGAAAAAAATAAGATAAGCTTTAGTGGCATGATGGCAAAACCACCTAAACTTTTTTCATATTAATGTTCACATAGTTTATGCCACTGGTGGAGCTAGTTGCTACCATTGACAACGTACCGCTGAGATCAGTATACATACTGATTCTTCTGTACTTGCCAAGACCAATCAGAATTTCACCTGGTACTCACACGCAACTTCTTGACATGGAAAAAGCCTTTATGCCAAGGGACAAAGGTGTGGATAACGAATCGTTATGCATTTCCATTTTGTTTTATTCCTGAGACTGATTCTGGAGTCTGATCCACTCAAAACCTTGAGCTGGTTTCAAAAACACCCTGAAAAGTGTGCATTCAGCATTGATGATGTGCCGAAAAGCACAAGGGCGATGGAAATTCAAGACAACCATGTGCTGAGGGGCAGAGCTTCCAACAGTGCAGTAGATCACCAGGAGGATTCAGTGTCTACGGCGAATGTATTAGTGTGGATGCCACCAGATTTTCACTTGAAGATGAAAACCACTCCAAATCCAAAGAAGCCAAAGGGTGCAGAGGGTGAGGCCACTACTTGAAGGCAAGTGAGAGTTAGAAGATGTTTCCTTTTCTGCTGACAGACTCTCTAACCTTGTCATTGCAATGGCAAATACAGAGAATAATGAAAAGTCAGATGGCCCTGACCCATGTTCTGCTGTTCTTGGAAAGACTAGCCATAAATCTGTTGAACTGGGTACAAATAAAGATAAAAATAATCCACCAGCAAAAATTACTCATGTCAATATGAAAGAAACTAAATATGAAGAGAGTCTGCCTTCCAGGAAGACAGTTTTTGTAAAGAAATAAACCAATCTTCCAATAGAAATGAGCTTTTCCAGAAGAGAAGGGTAGGACAACAGGAGAAGGAAAAATGCCATCACAGAAATGTTTTGGCCAAGATGAATTTGCAAATAATTTAAGCAAAGAGATACTAATTTGTGGCAATAATGAGGTTTCAGTCATGGTGGTCTCAGTTATGAAGACTGTAGAAGGTCAGGCAAATGACTCAAATATAGCTTGTATTGTGCTGAAAACTTGTTACTGAAACACTCTAAGGCCATGGTTTCAGACTCCTGTATGAAAAACTTACATGATATATCAGGCAAGCTCTTGACTAATTCAGATTTTCTTCTTCAGTGAAGCTGATTCTGTTCATCCTAGGCAGTCGTAAGGCTGCAGAAATTGTACAAGCGACATTGAATCATTTTTGTTCTACCTTGATAGTGCAAAAACCTGGAGGAGATAACGCCCAGCATATGCCTCTGTGTAGACAGGTTCAAAAACAGATGCAAAGGCTCAGAATTGAAGTCTGCAGCAACAAGGACTGAAACATTGCCAAACAAAAAAGAAATGACCTGTGCAGATGCAGTGGGTAACCACATCATTAAGCAAGGGTTTACCCTCTGGCATGAAAACCAAAACCGATACATCCAATGCTCAAAATCACAACCAAGAAGGGAGCTGAAACAAGATCACCAAAGAACATGCCCTGGAGTTCAGAAATTTGGGATATAGCCAAAATGTTACCAGATTTATGGGCTTGATTGTGATTGCATTATTGCCTACAGATTGTCATCTAATCTAGCAGAAGAATGCCAACAAGAGAGCGACAGAAAGTGGCAATGCTAGCAAAGCAGGTCCCATTGCCTTTGGGTTGTTGTTACAGGAGTGCCATGATCCTGCCTTCCAAACACTTTCAGAAAGATGTCAGGATCCATCAAAAGAAGCTGAAGAACCAGATTCACAGAGGTCAAATGCTGAAAGGCAGAAGCCTGAAAATGACGTGTCCAGTGATACATTAATGCTAACCTGGAAGTTACTAAACAATAGTAGAAGGGGGGGAGGGGGGACAGGGACAGGACACGACACGACGACATGGTTTGCAAAGTAGAAGGTTAGCCTGGAAATCCAATTGTTGATGAAACAAGACAAAATACTGGCAAAAACACTAAGGGTCATATTGGCCTTTCAGACACCAAACAATCCTGGATATCTGGATATCTGGACTGGCTAAAATGCTTACTGATCAACTCGATCTGAGCAGAGAAGACAGCATCAGCGCACAATTTATTGGCAGCCTGGTGGATACAGCACTAAAGCTGTGTCGTATGATAGTTAAATACAGCAACCCTGAGTCACTTCTGGCAGAGTGAGGGAGCAGAGAGGATGAGTATGCTCTAAGGGCATGGGAACTGCTGACTCCATGGCTGGATCCAGTAAAGGTGCTGTATCAGGACACAGGGTGGTAGTGGTGAATCAGAATCCTTCTGAAAACATGTGTAACAGCTCTGAGCCCTCTTGCAGTGGGTGATTGCCTCTCAGGCAGATGTGCCTGTGGTCTGCTTCTGGGATGGCAATGAGTTCATGAATAAGCAAGGCAGGAATTAGAATGCAATTGGACTTAGTTATATGGTTGGTTCCCCAACCTTGCTGACTTATGGGGAACAAAAATCTTTTTTCTCGAGAAAATCTTTTCTAGACATTTCTCTTTTTAAGCTAGTGCCCTGAGTAGCAATGTGAGCTACTCCTGATCTATTGTCTTGTTACAAAATAGTAAACTAACAAGGACGTACAGAAAAAGATGTACCTTTATCTCAGCACAAAGATGGTGCAAAGTTATCTTATATGCTATATTGCTCACAATTTCAGTGACTCTGATTTTAAAGGGAACAAATACGTTTGCTTTCAACATTTATTATTATAAATAAGATATTGTTATGTAAATTAAGATGTTTACATTCAGAAATGTTCTAATGGCAATGCCATTTAATAAAGAAATATTTGCATTATAAACATTATGAGTTGTTCACAAACATTTTTACCCATGTTACTGAATTGCTGTGGATTCTAAGTATCCAAACAATTCAGAATCCCAAATTACTTTTCACTTTGTATCTATTATATTTCTTTCAACTTGGACAATGAAGAGCAGTCTGAGTTGTGTTTGGAGTCTTCTCCCCTTTACCTAGCAGACAGCAGCTTTTTACCTCTTGTAATCATTTGACAGCCTCTTACAGAATGCAGCCATGGAAGATGTAAGTCTCCAGCATCAGGATGGAAGTAGAGGGCTGAGAATCATCTGCTTCATCGTGCTCACTGACACACCCAGCCATGTGCACATGCACAGTCTCTTCAGTTCCCCTTTAAAACAATTGACATTATCAGTACATCTGGTATATCACTTCTGGTGCATAACACACTTCTGTTGTGTCTCTGGTTTTCTGCAGCTTCAGAAACTATCATCGGTAGCAGTGGAGAAGCGATACAACGTAGGAGAAATTGCACAAGCAATACTGAAATAAAAGAAGGCAAGGCAGTCTGGCGGGGCTGTAGGCAACTCTGTTCAGTTTCCAGTCTTGAACTGGCTGCTTAATAACTCGTGAGCAGGGCCATTGCCTGTCATGTCCTCACCAACAGCATGATACTGGGCCAGCAAAGCACAACCTGCTGATGTCAGCCGAGCACTTAGCAGAGCTCCATCATCTCAGACTCATTTATACACCAGTGACTTGTAGGAGCTCATATTAGTTGTACTACTCCTGCTTGGCAACTGTATGAATTACAAAAGCATGCAAAATAACTGGGGAAATCTGTCTGAAAATATGTTGACCACAAAAACTGCTGTTTACCTGCCTCCTTGAAGAAAATTTTGCACGCTTTTCTTGGCTGCCTCCACCGAGTGGCTATCCTTCCCAAGTACCTTTCTTCAGGCAGAACTTTGCCTCAAGTTTTCACTGTGCTTGAAGTCAAGCCAAGGAGATACTGAGTCATTACCGGGTTTGTTTCTCCTCTGTACACATTGAATGTGATACAGCTTGATTCTCCTTCTGTTTATTAGATAACTTCCCATGGATAAATGAGAAAGTGGGAGCATCCAAGGAAAGGCAAGCTCCTTGCTCTCTGGAACGACTTGGGGTTTGCAGCAAACCAGCCTGTCAGTCATGAACTCTGGCCAGTCCTTGTCTCCCAGCGAGTGCTACAGTTTCAGCATTCCTCATACTTCACTTTTTATCCACTTGAAAGCATTTGCGAGTTTGAGACTGGTGTCTAAACAACCAAGTTTTTTTTTTTCTGTAATGCGTAATCTGTTCTTTAGAAGTCTGCACAGTGACATGAGAAAAATCACAGAGATCTAGGGAGAGCATGTTGTGACACAAATTTAGGGACTGGAGGTTAAGAGTGATTTTATATAATGTGGAAAATGCAGAAAATAGTATATTATTAAAATTTTTAGATAATGCCAATAATAAAATTACCACTGAGGGCATAGAATATGACCCGGAAAAAAATATAACATAAGGAGAGATCACATACAGTATCAGGAAAGACAGAATAATATAATATTTATAATATAATTTATAATATCAGGAAAGACAGAATTTAGAAAAACGCAAGGCAGCTGTAAAAAAAACTGAAATACAAATACACAGTGGAAGGCAGAAGCCAGGAAAACCACACAACAGCACGAAAAGAGTCCCAAGGAGTGACAGTGAAGATCAAGTGAGATGTGTTTTCAATGCACTGTTATACAGAGGCAGAGAATGTATAAGGAAATATGTTAAGGCCTGACTTAACAAAGTACAAGGGTACCATAGTCCTCAGTTGCACACCCCCATAAGATTGCTCCTTGAACAGTAAATCTAGTCCAAGAAACTACTTTAGCAGAAAAATGTTGAAATAATGGAGCAAATTTATGAGAAGAAAATTGATAATGGGCTACAAGATGTCATTTTTTGAATAATTAGATATATCCATGTGGGTTACAATATTTCATGTGAATCGACATATGACATGATGTCTACTTGTGCAAGGGATCTTTAAATATTAAAGCAAGAAGGGAATTTATTTAGAAATGTACTAGAAGGCATAACTAAAATAGCAGAGGTAAAATAAATACCAGTAAGTAATCACCACCCTTCATTAGGATTCATAACTGTGTACTTCGTAGCTGTTCCTGGCCAGTCATTTGCGTTACTTTACTAGTACTTACTTAGCCAGTAGATATACATTAAGGATACAAAGAAGGTCAGTGAATTGAGAACTTGCACATTTCTGTTCCTTGCAGCCTCTTGAATGCATTTTTGCCCAGGTTTGATCATGTTTGCACTAGCATTAAATCTGGAATGACTCTGTTGAGTTCAGTAAACAAACTGACCGTCTTCTGCACCCTAAAGGGATCCTGCGACAGAACTAGGACCATAGTGGGCAGACAGCATGAGTCTTGGGTGACCCAGGCTGCACCTTCTCAGATGGCTCAGCTCCCTGCATGGGCAGATTTTGCCAATTCAGTATTTCTCAGCAAGAAACCAGCATGGCTCATGCCAGTAGTCATGCTGTATTTTCCACCACTAAAAGCCCTCAGAGAGGATCCCGCACAATTAACTCAGTAAATTATTTTGTCCAACACAGCTTCTCTATGCTTACTCTGGTGAAGCCCAACATCAGACCCTTTCCATGTGTTCGTAAGATACAGTGATAGAAAGAAAAAGTGTCAGATAACAAAATTCCTTTCACAGTGAACAGGAAAAGTTTCATGGAGAAAAGCACTCTGCACAGCTGGAGGACCACACAGATCAACCTCATTTGCCACAGTATAGCGATGATCTCATTTCGGTGCATGCTGTAGTTAAAACAGGGAGGTCTAATTAGAGCTTGCTTTGGATGGAGAAATAATATCAAGAGCAGGGTGAAGTGGAAGGATTGGTTTACTCGGTGGCTATCATCTTAACTGAGCTAGAAGACAGACTTCTCAGACTGTAGGTTAGTTCTTTTGGAAACATTACTTTCGGTTTCCTTCGAAATGGACAAGTAAGAGCTGTCAAGAGCCTGTGGGAACATCACAAAGCGAGTACTGGAGGCAAAGGGAACCAAGCTAATTTTTATATCTGGTAACGGGACATCTAACTCCTGCATGTAAGTGCAAATAGGTTCACTATGGGAGTCCATAGATCTCACACAGAGCAAACACAGACTTTCTTATTGCTGCCATCAGCTGATGTAAGGTCTTTTCATGAAGTTGTACTGTGCTTGGGCTTGTGCTTATAGCTGGAGCTGTCGAGTGTGCCACTGACAGAATGGAAAACTTTGTGTTAAAGAAAACATCTAAAACAAAATTATTGCTCCTGGACTCTAAGGAAATAAAAGTCTATGAAATTAGTATGTTGTTTTTCTCTATAACTTGGTAAAAAGGTGCTGCCAACGGTACACTGATGTGGCATAGTATTTCTTTCATCTCTATCTATCCACAGTTTAAAGTTTCTTGCATAAGCAAGGGTCTGGAGTTTGAATCGATTGCTCTTATCAGGTGGAAACAGAATTTTCCTCAATGGCTTTAGATCTCCTTGTGAACAGACAGGTAGGGAACACAACTGGTAGCCAAGGCAGGTAAAAGAGAATATGTCTAATCATTTGCAAGAATTTAAAAACTAAGAGATTGTCAATGTCTGCATTTGTGGATTTTTTTACCAGTTCTTCATGCTGCTTTCTATGATTTATCTCATCACCTGAATTCTTCCCCACCTACTTGCCTAACTTTTTCTTCCAGCTAATCTCAGAAATTTTGAATATCCAGTATTGGTACAATTCTGTATCCATAGAAGCCAGTAAGAGGAATTTTAATCTTTACTGATGTCAGTGAATCAAGACTTTGCTCAGCGTGCCTTACTACACATAAATTGGGGAGGGGTGGAATGGTGCCTGTTGCCTTACTCGCTCTGTTGGAAAACAGCATATAGCCAGATCGTCATCAAGCCGTATCCATAGATGGTGGTAAGTTTAATTTTGCATTGTAAAATAGCATGAATTTCTAAACACTTCCAGCTGATTTTTCAATGGAGGTATAAATCAGCTGGTAGACTGTTACTGTGAGTGCTGGGGGATTTATTTGTGTGCCTCAGTTGCAGCAGCAGCAAACCTGAATTTGAAAGTCCCAGCTGAGCTCCATCCATTACAGTGGTGCTTTAAACACATCTATCTAATTCGCTGTCCTCAATCAGCCAGAAGACTCCTTTGTAACATAAATGATTTCCAGGTTTTGCTTTCCCACTGAGGATATTATTTCAGATTATATTTCCCCAAGTATGTTAGCATGTATTTTCCGAGTTGAATCCTGCTTTATTTTCGGCCCACATTTCAAATGCCTGTGTGTTATTTCTCTGTCATCTTTCATGTGCAGTTCGTCATCTCATATGTATATTTTCTTAAACTTTAGTTTGTATATAAATGGATTTAAAACATTACTGCACACTTTCGCAAGTTTAGCATGTTCTTGGCTAACACTCCTTTCTGTTTGTAGGCACAGAATCAAAGATAAATTTACGGGAGACCTGAAGAGGTTTCCTGGTCTATTCCCCTGCTCCACCATAGCATCAGCACTACCTAAATTGTTCCTAGCAAACATTTGCCTGGTGTCTGCTTAAAAGTCTCCAAAATTAAAAATTCCATGATTTCTCTAGGCAAAGTGTTCTGTCCTATTCTATTAACCAGCCTTACCAATAGAAAAAGTGTCACAATGTTGAGTTTAAATTTCAGGGGAAAGACTTGCGATGGTTGAATAATCACCACTTTGATCCTTCATCTTAACCAGTTTTCATTCCCTTGTCTTCTTTCAGGTTGATCTGAAATCCATGCCCCCTTAAAGATATGCTTCTGAGTAATTTTTATTGAGGATGAAAGAAAGGAATATTACCCGTTCATTAACAGTCTCGTTATTACTTTTTTGTTTGTTTGTTTTCCAGGTTTAGCTTGAAAGTGGTCCATAACAAAAGAGGATTTCAGAAGAGATCTCAAGGAAACGCTTTGACTTGCCATTTTAAAAAGTTTAACAGCACAGCAACTACAATAGCTAATAGCCACGCGAAGACATCTTAGGAAACATTTTACACAAAAGACACAGTGAGAGCAGATTCTAAGAAATCTCAGTTGTATTTGGCAGTGGTTGTAGGTGAATTCTTGGATTTTTATTTTAAAGCAGCAGTTCACTGCTGGTAAAGGGAGTCAGCCTGACAGGCACAGTGACTTCAGCCTGCAGCCCTCTGGACCAAATACCTTTCGGAAAATAGAATGGGGTTCACATTCATCCAACTGTTCCTCCAGACCCCTCGGTGGGGGGCACACGTGGACTGATAAATTAATTACTATTGCCTTCATGCCCTTTCCTTCCTGATCTTCTGAACCCAGACCACTATGAAGAATGAAAAATATTTAGTGTCTGCAGCCATTGGTCACTGAGCACGTTACTGCAACCATCTTTCCGCTTAATGTGACTCAGTGAATAGCCATTGGTTGGTAACAACTTCTGGTAACTATGGGCCTCAATTGGATCTCATCCAGTCTCTCACAGACCAATTCAACGCTCAGAGAGACAGAGAAATCTTTCCACCGA